TATTGTATTGACAAATTATACATCAATATATAGGAAAATAAAGAACTAATCTAGGAAATAAATAATCTAATCTAGGAAATAAAAAATCTAACTTCCTATTTTACAAATTTGTTCCTATTATGTATTGATTACAATCCTAATATCCTATTATAGATTTATACACTCCTATTTTACAGATTTGTTCCTATTATGTATTGATTACAATCCTAATATCCTATTATAGATTTATACACTTAATCATGCAATATCTGTAAGATTTTGCATGATTATCTACAACAAAACAAAAAGAGGTTAGACATCTAATCTCTTCCAATAAAATTGTGCTTTGTGGTATTTTGGAAACTAAAGTTCATGAACCAAATTTTGAGGTTACTAAGTCCTTGACATTTAGGGGAGGGGATGGGATGTAATTCATAACTATGTGTGTTGCCCTAATGATAGAATTTGGGTTACTTGGAATCCTAGTTTGGTGAGGTTTGAAATCATACAATCTACGACTTAAGCCATCCATGGTAAGGTTGTTATTTTGGACTCTAATTACTCCTTTGTTTGCTCATTTGTCTATGGCTCTAATGGTCTGTTGGAAAGGAAAGAATTATGGAGAGACTTGATGGGCAAAGCTCAAGATTTTGAGGAAATATCATGGGTGATTTCAATGCGATGAGATTTTGGCATGAGAAAATTGGGGTTTTTATAGGTGGAGAAATTATGTTTCGGACTTGAATAATGTGTAATGAGACTGGGTTTCAGGACCTTCGGTTTATGGGTAACTTTTTCACTTTGAGTAATATGAGAGAAGGGGAACATAGGATTACTACTAAGATTGATCGAGCTCTTGTGATTGAAAGTTGGGGCAGTGTGTTTGGTATTTCCATAGCCAATTTCCTTCCCCCAATCATTTTGGATCATTCTCCTTGTATTGTTGAATGTGGGGTTATGTCTTCACCTAGGAAAATCCCATTTCGATACTTTTGGGCTTACCATGAAAGTTTCATTAGCATTGTTAGTAAGGCTTGGGAAGAAGAAGTTAGGGGTAGCCCTATGTATCAATTGGTTACTAAACTGAAGAGAGTCAAAGAAGCATTAAAAATGTTTAACAAGAGGGAGTTTGGGAATATCTCGGCAAGAGTTATTGAAGCTAGAGAAAACCTCCTAAGGGTCCAGCATGCTCTTGCTTCTAAATTCTAGGGGCCAAGTGACATTCCTTCAAATTGTGCCCAAAAGTTCTACACCAAAGGCAAACCCTCTGTTTCCAAGAATACTCCACCCCTATGTTCACACAATCACCATTTGGGAGGCCAAGTTCCACTGAATTCGGGAATGAAGAAGATGTGTTGATTTCAACACGAACTCTTGCATACTCCAATCTATCCCCAGCATCCGTAATGTTATCCATGTAGAGAGGTTTTCCAATAGCGCTTGCAACATATCTCAACCCTTTAGCAGTCCAAAACTCCAATGGCTCTCCACTAAATTTGACCAAAATCGGCATACTACTAATGCCTTCACTTCCCATTTTTAAATTTAAACGCCATTTTTGAGGAAAAGGGGCTGCCTCCTA